TGGCAAGCGGACCCTCCCCCAGCAGCGGGCTCAGTTTCCCCAACCGTGAGCCCCAGGGCTGGGCCCTCCGCTTTCTCCCCCGCACCCCCCACCTCGCAGCGGTTGGCAAGTCTGCAAAGGGAAGCTTGTGGCGGCCTCGATCGAGCGCCCTGGAACGTTCCCGCAGATCGCCCTTGGGTCCTCGCGCAGGCCCGGGGCGCTGTGGCCCAGCCCCTGGCGTCCGGCCATGCGCCCGGCGCCCCCTGCCCGGGTCCCGCGCGAGGGACGGGCCGAGGCGTCCGCGGGGCCGGCGCGGAGCCAGCGCGCAGACCCGTTAGGGCAGAAAACGGGAACGGAAGTCGCTGGGAGCGGAGCCCTACTTCTGATCTTTTCTAAGTTGCTCCGGGAGCTCTGCGCAGCCGTACCGCGATGGTGGATGGATTGTCTCTGGACAGGGACTCGGAGTGCGGGACGAACTCTTTTGTGTGTGTGTCGGTTTTGGGGCTAGAACCCAAGACCTGGGTGCTGTCCCTCAGCCTCTTTGTGCTCAAGGCTGGCTCTTTACCACTTGACCCACGGCGCCACTTCCTGTTTTTTAGTGGTTCATTGGAGATAAGTCTCACGGGGACTTTCTGGTTTCCAACAGCAATCCTCGGCCTCCAGAGTAGCTGGGATTACAGGCGTGAGCCACCAGCGCCCGGCTGGGAGAGGAACTTTTTAATGGATTGAGTTTTCACCCTCAAAACATTTTGTTATCCAGTGAAGAGCTCACCTGGTGATGGCTGTAGTCTCAGCACTGGGGAGGCTAAAGCAGGAGGATCACTGTGGTCCAGGAGTTCTAGGCCAGCCTGGGCAAGATTCAGGATGCAAGGCCACAGCGAAAAGTGGTAGAGGCAGGACACCTACTGAGCTATCTCTGTAGCTGGGCTCCCTCCTCCAGCCCAGTGGCCAGATTACAGCTGATTGATCATCCACGGGACCCAAGCACTGTAGCCCACACCTATAATCCTAGCTAATCAAGAAGCTGAGATCGGAGGATCCTGGTTCAAAGCCAGCCGGAGCAGGAAAAGTCTGTGAGCTTCTTATCTCCAATTAAACTTCAAAAAGCCTGAAGTAGAACTGTGACTCAAACAATAAGGTGCTAGCTAACCTTAAGCAAAAAAACTCTGGGACAGCACCCAGGCCCTGAGTTCAAGCCCCAGAACTGACACCAAAAAAATGTGACTGGAGTCATGGATTGGTTAAGGGGTTTCCACCTAGCAACCTCCAGACCCTGAGTTCAAAACCTAGTACTGGCAAAAAAAAATGTAGGGTGGAGGCATGGCTCAACTATGGAATACTGGCTTAGAAAGTCCTGAGTTCAAATCCAATACCAGCTTGCTGGGGTGGAGCACCTCCAACCTCTTTCCAAGGGGCTCATGGCCTCCTCTTCCCATTCTCAACCCTGATCCTCAGCACACACTTCACCCAGCCCCGTGCTGAGTGATCTTCTGGAATTCATCTTCCCACTTAACTCTTCCCTCTGCCAGACACAACCTTCTTCCCTTCCACTAGGTCCACCAGTGACCTCCAAGTGGGCTCTGAACTTGGAAGTCCTGTGGGGGACTTAGGTTCAAATCCCACTTCTGACCTTTGATTCTGTGACCCCAGGAGCTTCACAAGGAAAATGGCAGTGACCACACGCCTCCCTGCATGACTTTCGGAAGGCCCACCTCTGGGTACCCCTTTCTCAGTGCCGGTCCCAGTGTTGTAACAGATGCTTGTAAGGGCAAGACACAGAAGAGAGCAGGCCTGCTCAGGAAGGAAGGCGCTGCCCTTCCGACACTGGGAGCCAGGCAGGGTGTCATCAGGAGAGGATCAGTGGGGGAGGAGAGACTTGGAGGACCACATGGTACCCCAGAGGTGTAAGCAAGGAATCTGAAAACCAGGTGGCAGGGTTTCACACTGTGGTCACACGATCATCTCCCAGTTGTGAATGCAGCTCACTCCTCCCCATCTACCAGGAGACCAGTCATTCAGAAACATGTAGCAAGCCTGAGACATCTGAGTTTAAATACCAAGCACCACTGGGAGGGAGTGGGGTTGGGGGGAGCCCTGCCTTAGTCCATTTTCTGAAAATACTCCAGGCTGGGTTTATAGGAAGAAAAGACATTTATTTAGCTCACCGTTGTAGGGGCACTGGTTTAGCTTCCGATGACAGCCTTCCAACTACACCACAGCATGGCAGATAGCATCCTGGCGGGAGCACATTCAAGAGATACATCATATGACAAAACAGGAAGCAGGAAGGATTAAAAGGCCCCCTCCCCCCTCTCCCCCTGCTCCTGCCAAGGGCCCCCTCCCCCTCACCTTAAATGTCCCTATGCCAGACACACACACACACACACACACACACACACACACACATACACACAGCCCACCCTCTACGGTTGATGTTCTAACATCTCACTCTCTCAGGATCTGTCCCCGGTCACTTGAGAACTATTAGTGTCTTCTGGTGGCGCCACACTGGGATGAAGCTGCCAGCACAGGGACCCTGGAGGACTCACTCAAACTATATCCAGACCACAGCACACTGGACAAATCCCTTAATGCTGAAAGAAGCGGAAGTCCTGCTGGATGCCGGGAGGGTGAATGTGCACACATCCATTCATGTTACCATGTGTACATTTATGCGTACACATGTGGGGCTGGATAGAAATAACCTGGCTTGAATCACAGGCCTGCCGAGGTCTTCCCTGTATGCTCACACCTCCTTACTTGTAGGTGAGACTACTTCCTTCCTTCCTTCCTTCCTTCCTTCCTTCCTTCCTTCCTTTCTTTCTTCCTTCCTTCCTTCCTTCCTTTCTTTCTTTCATTTTTTCTTTTGTTTGCCAGTCCTTGGGCTTAAACTCAGAGCCTAGGTACTGTCCATGAGCCTCTTTGTGCTCAAGGCTAGTGCTCTATCACTGTAGCCACAGCTCCAATTCTAGCTACTTGGTAGTAAATTGGAAATAAGAATCTCACAGACTTTTCTGCCTGGGCTAGCTTTGAACCATGATCCTCAGATCTTCAGCCTCCCGAGGAGCTAGGTGTGAGCCACCAGCACCCAGCTGAAAGATGCATTTTTTTTTGATGTATCATGAAAACTCATTTCTCACCCACCATATCTTGGCACTGTATCCCAAAGAGGATGTTTCCAGAGGGAAAGGAGGCAGGTCGAGCCACCTTGCCATCCTCTGAAGCTCCAGTTTACAGCATTTAAGCTTTCATTCTGAACACTCATCTCTATTCGTGAATAATCAATGGTGCTAGGCTGCCAAAGACTCAGTCGGGAAATGAGGCTCCTGCATTGGATCCAGCAGCCATGGCTGCTGCCTGGCAGAACTCAGCCACCCACTAGGGGCATCCGTTCTCCCAAGAAGACAAAAGACCCAGACTCATAGGACCTAAAACCTAGGGCACTGTATTTCATATGTCTCCACCTGACTACCAGCACCTTCCACACTCACTGAAATGTCCCACGGAGGCAGGCTGTCTGCCAGTCTCACAGCTAGAGCGTCCTTTCCACTCGCCCTTTCTCCCACAGTAACATACCACCAGCTAAGAGATGACTTCTGAGCGGGCTTGGACCCCCTTTCTCCTAGCAGCAGGCATGCATCCCTCCCTCATGCTACCCCAGCATCAGAAGGTCCCTTTGACACCAGGGACACCACAGCCCTCCTCCCCAGTGCCAGTCCCACCTCTGCTCAGTTTACTTCCATTTGAGAGAAACTTAAACATCTTCTGTGGACCAGGCTCTCTGCTAGATATTGGAGGTGTGACTTGGAGTGATGGAGCTCAGCCCCCACAGAGCCCCAGGTCTAATGTTTTCTGCAGTGGTGGATACATGCTGACTTTCTGCAGAGTCACTCTGATTTGTCTGCCCGGCCTGGCTTCAAACCACGATTCCCAGATCTCAGCCTCCTGAGTAGCTAGGATCACAGGCATGAGCCACTAGAACTGTATTTCAAAATAACTAGAAGACACCCAGAAGTTCCCAATAAATGTTTGAGAAGACAGAACTGTTATTTATCCTGGATTTTATCAATACAGGATGAGTGTGTATAATACTGTACCCTGTATGTATAAATATTGCATGTTAACAAAGTTTTCACCAACAAGAGAGTAGACTACTTCTTGAGGAAGAGGGAGAGTCAGACAGGTAAGTAGAACAGGGGAAATAGACACTTGAAGTCAGTATTTTGAGTCCACCCAGGTGAGGAGGCCGTAATCTGAGCAGCATGGCTGGGACAGGCAAGCCTGGGTCCCTGGAGCTGGAGGGGCAGCTGAGGGGAGAGGACCCTGGCTGGGCTGTACAGGGCCCTGGCCATCTTCCTTAGGAATCTGGACCGAATCTGACGATGTTCCAGTCAGCTATTGAGATAGGTTCTGTTAAAATCACCTTGCCTTAGTATGGATGAGAGATTGAAGAGGAAAAAAATGGATTCAGTATCACATTTTTAAATGTAGATACATTATTGTATTTTAGGCTTTGAATTAAGCTGAAGACACCATTACTGTAGCCCAACAGGCTAAGGAGACAATTCACTAAGACAATTCATTTGAGACAATTCATTTCAGTATAACCTCTTCAACATCAGATGGCATTTTTAAGTGAAATATTTTAAGATACTTTTGGAACTTTTAAAACACTTTAAAAGTCCTGCCATATCTAATATCAAGTTTAAAAAAATCCAGGTCTACCAATGAAAGAATACCACCCCCACCACAGGCCCCACTGCTGCTAGTTCCCATCAAGCCTTTAAATTCGGTGTATTTTTAAGATTCATAATTGAGATCTTTCATTCATTTAGACTAATCTTTCTCCTATATCACTTAGATAACACAGCCTGAGTTTGTACTGATTGGCTCCTTTCACCCTGTTTGTTTCTGGAATATGAAAAGTTCATGGGATATGACCAAATTCTTCTCTCCCAGTAGTGAAGATCTAGACAGTCACAGTTCAAACAGAACCCGAGGTGGCTGCCAGCCTGTAGAGGAGTGACGGCTTGTCGCGTCTGTTATTCAGGGATCGTGGAAAGGCTGAGTAAGGTCAAGAGTAGGACATGCTGCCTTCTGGAAAATGGTTTTGACTTTAAATCAAGGATGTTATAAGCTAACATTTTAAACGTGATTCTGAAAAGAAAATATTTAAAAGGGGCCAGGAGGGGCTGGGAAGTTGGCTCAGTGGTAGAGCGCTTGCCTTGCATGCCTGAGGCCCTGTGTTC